GGTCGTGAACAATGAAAATACATGCTGCATATCAGATATTTACATGACGATTCATAACAGTAGCAAAATTACAGTTATGAGGTAGCAACGAAAATAATTTTATGGTTGGGGGTCACCACAACATGAGGAACTGTATTTAAGGGTCGCGGCATTAGGAAGGTTGAGAACCACTGCAAGCTGTTATATTCGAAATCATTTGCAGAATTTCCCAACTAGGAATCATCTTTCCTCCCAGATTCTCTTTCAGGGACTCCTACATATCTGTACCCTGAACACTCACTAAAACTCGGCTCCATGTTCCGTCTGGTTGCCCTCATCATTGCTGCTTCCGAGCATCTATGACAGTGCCGCAAGCACATAGTAGGTGCAAAGTAAATTGTTGATTGATTGAACTGCATATTGCTTACCTTTAAACTTCTGTACCTACGTTATTCTTCTCAGTGCTTTGTGTATCTTAAGTTCCCAAATGTTGAAGGAATGCCAGACTAGAAGCAGCTGTACAGAACTCTGGGTCAGCGGTGAGAAGACGGAGGCCAGCCTGGGAGGTCTGGGGAGGGAACGTGCGCTTGACAAGGGGCAGCAGTACGAAGCAATGATCGGGTCAGTAAACTTCGGGGCTTTTTTTTTTTTTTAATGAATCTCACAAATGACGTCTCATCACTTTTGTGATATTCTGTTTGTTAGAAGCAAGTCTCTGGGTCCGGTCTACACACAGGTAGAGGGGCTTTCACAAAGGTGTGACTGCCAGGAGGTCAGAATCATTGGGAGTCATCTTAGAAGCTTCCTACCACACTCCCATTTTACCAATCAGGAAACTGAGGCCACAGAGTAGCTGAGCGTATCCTCATTCCTAAAGAAGAGTGCGGCCTGGCCTTGGGAGGGGAGGTGCTCTCAACAGCCCACCTCGACCTTCTCTGCTGCAGAGCCAGGACGATGCATAGGCCTCCCCTTGGCTTGTGTTAAAATACCCCTCCACACCATCTCCCCTCTTAGCACGGTTCCCAGGCTCACCAGACCACCACCGGCCACTTAGTTTCACTTGCCCTGGCCGGAAGCCTGAGGGTGTTAGGCACTGGACAAGAATCGTGCTATGCCCTGTGCTCCAGCCACACTGGCCTCGGAATCCTCTTGTCTGATAATGTGGCCCACTTCCCTCTCCTTTTACCCCGTAGTAAACTCCTACCCCTGCTTCGGCTCCCTATGCAAATCTTACTTCCTGGGGAAGCCTGTCCCTGCTGGAAGACTAGACCAGGCCCCTCTGTCACATGCTAAGTGCCCGGATGTTTCCTTTGCTGCATTTATCGGAAGTTCATTACTGTGAACGGTGGTAGGTGGAGGGTAAGTTCAGTGAGGGTAGGCCGTGAATGTTTTGCTCACTGTTATATCCCCAGCGTGCCTAGCACAGTACCTGGCAAACAGTAGGCAGTTAATGAGTGATGCTGTCATCATCTGTTGAATGAATATTGAGATGCTTCCTGCGGATGCTGCCTGAAAACAGGATCAGCAGCCTGTTTTCCTCAGGCTACTTCTGTCCTATAGTAACCTTAACTTAATTGGTACCTTTTCAAATGTTGATACGAAAATGCTAACTAGGGGGGAACTGAAGGGCTTCCTGACTTCCCACGAAAACATTTAACACATTGCATCCTGCATAGAAATCTCTAAGACAGACGCCAGGGACCGCACGTTCTTGGGCAAACTGCACGTTATTTAAATCATCATAACTACAGATCATAATGCACTTTAGGTGTTGTTTTCCAACAATTATAACATTTTTATTTACAAAAACAATTCAACAATTAAAAGTTCCTCGTACTTTTTTAACGTATGGTACTGCGTAAAACATTTTCCTCTATGAAGAGGGACCAAACAAAATTTACATAATTATCTAGATTCGCTCCTTTTTCCACGGGCGGCACAAACTCTGCAGGCTCTCGTAGGAAATTTTTTCTTTCCACTCGCTGGAATACACGTAGGTTCGTGCTGCTTCATATCACCTGACAACCTTTTGGGTGGATCTTTACAAGGTGCTCTCCTTGCGCCCCCAGGGGAAGGGCTGGACAGATTTGTCTCTGATGCTG